CATAAGCATATTGCAGATAGAATTTTTCTTTTTCTTTATAAATATGCCGCTACTTCAGATGTGAATTGCAAGTCCAGAACACTGTAATTCTTTTTATTTTATTTTTTTAATTTTATTTTTATTTATTTGAAAGGCATAGTGGCAGAGAGATTGGGAGAGAGAAAGAGAGAGAGAGAGAGAGGGAGGGAGAACTGTCTACTGGTTCACTCCCCAGATGGCTGCAACAGCCAGATCTGGGCAAACCCAAAACTGGGACTCCATCTGGGTCTCCCATGTGGGCACAGGGACCCAGTGAGAACTTGGGAATACAAAAACAGAAAAAATAAGTTTTCTCTCAAGGATGTTCAGTGAAAGGCAACTAGTTTTAAGAATTTACTCTGTGTCCGGCGCTGCGGCTCACTAGGCTAATCCTCCGCCTGTAGCGCCGGCACTCCCGCATGGGAGACCAGGAGGAAGCACCTGGCTCCTGGCTTTGGATCGGCGCAGTGCTCTGACCATAGTGGCCATTTGGGGGTGAACCAACGGAAAAGGAAGACCTTTCTCTCTGTCTCTCTCACTGTCTAACTCTGCCTGTCAAAACAACAAAACAAAAAAAGAATTTACTGTGCATTTTTCTAAATCTTTGTCTTAACTTTTGTGCTTTTTTTGTGCATATGCAAGAATCATACTTATACTCTTCTGTCAATGTTTTATTTATTTCTTTATTTTCATTCTAATGAAAGGCAGAAAGGCAGTTGGATACAGATGTTCCAGAACATCTTTCCAAGACAAAGGTCTTCCTCTTGCCGTTGGTTCACCCTCCAATGGCCGCCGCGGCTGGTGCACCGTGCTGATCTGATGGCAGGAGCCAGGTACTTCTCCTGGTCTCCCATGGGGTGCAGGGCCCAAGGACTTGGGCCATCCTCCACTGCACTCCCGGGGCCACCGCAGAGAGCTGGCCTGGAAGAGGGGCAACCGGGACAGAATCCGATGCCCCGACCGGGACTAGAACCTGGTGTGCCAGTGCCGCAAGGCGGAGGATTAGCCTATTGAGCCACGGCGCCGGCTCCAAGTTATATCTTAATTACTGCACCAAATGCCTGCCCCTACCTCCCCAAGTCTGCTGTTTTATTTATTTTTTAAACACAAATGATATCACACTGCGCCAGTGTTAATTCAACATTGTTCCCAGCAAATCTGTGCTATCACATTTGTATAAAAGTCATTCTTGAGGCTGGCCTTCTGGAATAGCAGTTACCCTCTGCCTTTGACACCGACATCCCATGTGGTCGCTGGTTTGAAACTCCATTTCTGATCCATCTACTGCTAATGCTTCTGGGAAAGTAGCAGAAGATGGCCCAAGTGCTTGGCTCCCTACACCCATGAGGGAGACCCAGAAGAAGCTCCTGGCTCCTGGCTTCAGCCTGGCCCAGCCCTGGTTATTGATTGCAGGCATTTGGGGAGTGACCCAGTGAACGAAAGATCTCTGTCTCTCTTTTTCTCTCTGTAATTGTCTTTCAAATAAAGAAAATTTAAAAAGGCATTCGTTATAACAGGTGTAAAATAAAATAATCTGTACTGTGACTAGTATCATCAGTAACCTCCATGGCCAACTGACTTCCTCCCATTGCCACTCTCCAAGCTCTAGTTATTTTTTGTATGTGGCTTCTTTGCCTCAGTAACTGGTAAAGGTAAATACTTTGTAAATTAAAACATTGCCTTTTAGTTTCCTGGTCTTCACTTAAAAAAAGTACGTGTGTACATATGTATGCATTTGGAAAGCAGAGGGACAAAGAGAGGGGGGAGAGAAAGAGATTCTCCATCTGCAGGTTCACTCCCTGCCTGGCTGCAAAAGCCAGGGCTGGGCCAGGCCAAAGCCAGGAGTCTGGAACTCCATCTGGGCCTCTGAGGTGGATGGCAGATGCTCAAGTACGTGGACCATCAATTGCTGCCTTCTCAGGCACGTTAGCTGGAATGCTGGATGGGAAGCAGAGTGGCTGGGACTTGACCAGTGGCTGCTTAACCCACGGAGCCATAAAGCCAGCCAAAAGAGCCCACCTGATCTCCCAGAACCCTGATTACAAAGCGTCAACAAGCCTCTTTTGCCATTGAAGTCTCCCTGCCTGGTACTCAGAACACACTCTGAAACTGTGGGCCTTCAGCCTAAGGCAGCACGTCATCAGGGTTCTCTGAGCTTGGAAATACTGAAAAATAATGTCCAGCCAATGTCACAAGCCATGGACCCTTCAGATGGTGATGGTTTTCAGGGCAGACTGAAATGAGGTTGGCTACTGCTACTTCAAAACACCCTGGAAAGAACCTGTTTCCTGAATTCTGTGAGCAGCTTGAGAGGAGGAGGGGAAGGGTGGGGGGTGGTGGCTAATATTAAATCTGGGAGCTGGTGTTGTGGCACAGCTGGTTAAGCTGCTGTCTGCAGTACCAGCATCCCATATGGGCATCGGTTCAAAGCCCCAGCTGCTCCGCTTTCGATCCAACTCCCTGCTAATGCACCTGGGAAAGCAGTGGAAGATGCCCAAGTCCTTGGGCCCCTTGCTACCCTTGTGGGAGACCTCGAAGAAGCTCCTCTGGCTCCTGGCTGCAGGCTGGCCCAGCCCCAGCCATTGCAGCCACTTGGGAAATGAAGCAGCAGATGGAAGATCTCCTTCTCTCTGTCTCTCCTTTCTTTCTCTTTGCTTTTCAAATAAATAAAAAAAAATACATAAAATATTTTCAAAAATATTAGATCCTTCCCCCCAGTTTTGTATTAAGAAATTTTTCAAGTATACAGAAAACTTAGCAGAACTCTAAGCGAACCCACTACCTAGATTCTACCATTGCATTGTGCTCCACTTTATCACTTCTCTATTCGTGGGCTCATTTCCCCATGCATGGGTGCATCCACCTATCTTATTTTTCGACACATCTCAAAGTACAATGTATTTTGAGACACCAAGACCACACCGATAACCTTTTAGCATGAACCCATTCATCAGAGTTTCTGTTTATGATTTTTTTTTTCATTTTTGAGAGAGTGTTTGCATCCAGTAAACACACAGATCTCAAGTTAACCACTCCATCAGTCCGACAAATGCCTGTGGGATGGAAATCAAACCTTTATCAGTATCTGTTAACATCACAGTGTTACTGTTTGATTAGAGGCTCATAGCCTCTCCTGCTTAGACGAGAACAGCCAAAAAATCTGCAAAACACCTCAGCAGAGCTGGGAGAGTGAGGTGAAGGGAAGCACATTGAGCTAAGAAAAGCACTAAGCAGGGTCAGTGCTGTGGCACAGAGTGGGCACATGAGCACCCACTCACTGGCTGCTCCACTTCCCATCCAGCTTCCTGCTAATGTGCCTGGGAAAGCCGGGAAGATGGCCCAAGTGCTTGGGCCTCTGCCACTCATTTGGGAGACCTGGATGGAGTTCCTGGCTCCTGGCCATTGCTGCCATTTGAGGAGTGAACCAGTGGATGGAAGATCTCTCTCTGTCTCCCTCTCTCTCCATAACTCTGCCTTTCAAATAAATAGTCTTTGACAAGAAAGGGGAAGAAAGCACTGAAATTAACTGTGCTGATGGAAGAGAGAAGCTGCTGTTTCCTTTTGCTCTGTGTAACACCCACTGTTTAAATTGACGGATTTTTTTTTTTCTCAGTTTTACAAATCCCTCTGCATTAAAAGTCAAAGGAACAAAATCATGCGGTGGAAATACAGAGAAAACGAACTGCAGCACAGAGCGTGAGGAGGGCAAGCTCATCCCTTAAGGCATCTCTGGCTGGAACTGGAGGAGAGGTATAAAGCATGCAAGGAATCTGATAAGCACACTATGACCCATATTACGTCTGATGACTCGCTCTGAAAAACTAGGACACCTGTGAAGATCCCGAGACACAGGTCTGGGATTTTAAATCCTGCCTTCCAGAGAAAGGCCGGCCAGTAAGTGCACAACTCTGAAACGCAAAACTGAAACGTGCGCCTCTTAGCACAATAGGCCACCCTCGTTGTCATCTACAAGGACGAAAACAGCAGTTCTCAAAGCATCGAGGTTTCTTTTTTTTTTTTTTTAAGTTTGATGCTAAACTCAATTCTCATTACTTTGGATTCTGCTTGAAAATTTTTTCTGATTAATATGCATACTGCTGGTATCACTTTTGAAAATTATTTAACATTGTAGGAAAGCAAGTAGCAAGATATTATAACCCTATTCCCGGCGATGAACCTGTTAACAACTTCGTAGCAAACTTTTCCCACCGCGCATAATTTTTATTTTGACAACGGTTTTAGACAATTGCTCTTTTAACAGGTTGCACTTTCAAACAAAAATTACAGAAAATAGCAAAGATCTTTTTTTAAAAAAATTCTGGCAGGTTTGGTCCAGAAACTGCCCTGGAAACAAATGTCCTTAATTTGAAAGAAAAGTTTAACAGAAAGTATTTTAAAAGAGAAACGGAAGACAGCATGCCTTTAGTTTGGTGAATTAGCAACAAAGAAAACGACTCGCATGGACGGGGACGTTTCAAAATACATATTTTTTTGTTTGTTTCTGGCTCCCGCTAGGGCGGAGAAAGTCGCCTCCTCTCCGAGCCAGGGTGGAACCGGGCCGGAGGACAGACGCCTGGGCGGTGCCCCCTGCTCGGGCTGCGGGGCCGCGGGGGCGGCCGGCAGGTGCCTGCGCTCCAGCCCCGGTCCCCACCCTCGGCTTCTTCCTCGCCGCACCCCGAGACCCGCGTCGCCCCCTGGCGGGCACGCGCGCGGCGTCCGGGCGCCGGGGCTGGGGGGAGCCCTCGCGCACCGGCCCCGCGCCCCCCAGGGAGGCCGGCCCCCAGGAACATGTCCGCGGCCGGGGCGCGCGGCGCAGCCCCGGGGAGGAGAGCCGGGGGAGGGCGTGTGCGGCCGCGGCGCTGGAGCCGCTAGTTCCCTCCCTCCTGGGGGAGCAGCGCCGCCGCCGCCGCCACCAGCGCGCGGGCCGCGGCCAGGGCGAGCCGGGCGGGCGGGGGCGGGGAGGGGGGTGGGCGGAGGGCCGGGAGGGCGTGGGGGGAGGGTCTCGCTCTCCCGACGCCCAGAGCCCGAGAGGGAAGACCCTGGCGGCGGCCGCCTGACACTCGGCGCCTCCTGCCGTGCTCGGGGGCGGCATGTCCGAGGCTGGCGGGGCCGGGCCGGGCGGCTGCGGGCCGGGGGCCGGGCCCGGGGCGCTGCCCCCGCAGCCCCCCGCGCCGCCGCCGCCGCCGCCGCCGCCGCCGCCCGCGCCCCCGCAGGGCTTCTCCTGCGGTCCGGCGACGGCTGTGGCTGCGGCGGGCACGGCCGAAGGACCGGGAGGCGGTGGCTCGGCCCGGATCGCCGTGAAGAAGGCGCAGCTGCGCTCGGCTCCGCGGGCCAAGAAACTGGAGAAACTCGGAGTGTACTCCGCTTGCAAGGTACCGAGGGCTCGCAGCTCCCCGGGCCGCTGCGGGGGGCACCGGGGGGCCCCCGCCCAGACCCCCGCCCCGCCCCGCCCCCGCTCGCGCCTCCCGCCCCGGGCCGCTGCACCGCGGAAGTGCTGCTGTCGCCCTCGCCCCTTGAGCCGCTCCACGGATCAGAGCCCTGTGGGGTTGAACGAAGCGAGGCTTGCCAAGACTCGGAGACCCCCCTACCCCGCCCCCGCTTCGTTCCTCCCCCACTGGAAGGCGCTCGAGCTCCCCGGAATACCCTGGGGCTCCGTGGCTCTGTAGGAGCTCGCCGGAGACGAGTGGAGCAGCGCGCTCCGGGGGTGGCGCGGGAACCTGGGTCAGGGAGACACCTTTGTGGGGACGCTCCTCTCTGCACTCGGCTCCCGGGGCTGCGCTGGGAGGACCTGGGTGCCAGGGCCGAGGGCCGAGAGGGCTCCCGGACTCCTGGCGCTCGGGAGAGACGCGCTGGCTGGGGAGGCTGGGCACAGCCCGAGGCGAGGGTCCCGCGGCGCCCGGCGCGCTCGGCTGGGGGCGGGGGCGACAATCCTGTCATTATTGTATTACTTGTTTGGTTGTAAACGCTGTCCCAAGCTGCTCGGGGTGTACGCTGGGTTTGGCAAGCCCAGCGCGACGGGCGCTGCTGCTCCGTTTGAGGACCCTCGCGTCTTGGGCCAGATCTGTGGGGCCCCCGTGGCCCTCAACTGCAGATCCAGATGTGGGGCGGCGCTCCCAGGGGTGGGAGGACCGCCCGCGGCCGCGGGGCAGGCTGGCCCCCGCGCTGTCAGTGGCGGCTTTGTTTTGACAGGGTGACAGCTGAGGGGGGCGGGGACTTGGCCTTGCCAGCTCCTGCGGCCTGTGGTCACAGTCACACTCACACACCTCCCCTCTGTCTCTCCCGCCTGCTGCACGCGGGGTCAGGTGCCCAGCTTCCGGATTCCCACCCACCCACCCCCTGCTTGCAGTGGAACGTCTACATTTGGCACAAGGATTATTAACCCTGCTACAACCTCTCTGCTCAGAGCGCTCCTCTTGCTCAGGTGGAGGGCCTGTCTGTGTGTCCTGTAGTGGGCCAGTACCTGTTTCTTGCATGCATGTCGACTCCAGCCTGGTGCTTGTCAAACTTTAATGTGCTTAGGAGTCATCCGTGGACCTGTGTTTAAAATGCTGCCTCGGGATCTGCAGGTGTTGGGTGGGCTGAAGCCCGCCTTTCTAAGGAACTCACCAGGATGCTGTAGCACCAGGGTAGTTCAGACCCGGATGGTTTGTTAATAGCCCCCTTTGAGTTCAGCTGGGAAAATGGGAACTGAAAAAGTAAGGCCCCATGCTTGGTATTTCTGAGGAAGGAATTCGGACAGGATGCAGTGGGGACTAGGTTTTGAAGGGAGGTGTCCAGGAGTTGGGTAGGAAGGGTGTTAGGCAAATGAGAACAGGACCATGAATGTAGTGAGCAGAAGGGAGGGCCGTGCACGGAGCCAAGTTCAGGGTCGAGTGCTGCTGCAGGACCCGGCTCGTGCAGGAATGGTGTCAGCTCCGTGTTTCCACCCTGACTTCATTTTTAAAGTCGGACCCCTTGGGTTCCCATCTGCAGCACCTCTTCCTGCTGTTAACCTTACAACCTGAAAACTTTGCTGAAGTTTCGGTTCTGTCTAAAGCCGTGAGCATCTGTGTCCTGCGTCGATGTTTTTGGTCCTTTCAAGTTTTGTAACACTTCCAAAAGTGCTTGTGACTTCTGTGCTTCCTGTTCACATTCACAACCAAACTTGCAGGAAGGAAAAATTCCCCTATTAAAGGCTCCTCTTCCTACTTCTGGGGTCCTCTGAACGGGGCCGGTTTTATTTGTGCACCCATTCAGCAAATATCCAGAGGAGTCCTGCTGGGTGCCAGGCATTGTGCTAGGTGGTGGCGGGGACGTCCAGACTCTGTCTCTCTGGTGCGACCGCCCACCTCTGTGCCTGTGTGGTTGGACACGTGTGTGTACTGGGGGCTGACGGAGAGGGCTATGAAGCAGTTGCAATGAAGTTCAGGAAAACTGCTCTCCTGGAGTGGTGTGGAGACAGTTCATACCTGAGGCAGGGGTAGGATGGGAATGACTTGGAGGAAGTATCAGCGGCTGCTGCTAAGGACTTTTTGGCTGTGCAGGGTGGGGTGGTGGGGTGAAGTCTTTGGTAGTGGAGAAACCGAAAGCAGTTCTGAAAGCCTGGAGTTGAGCCAAGCCCAGCCAGCCCTCCATTGGCTGGGTCACTGGCTTGGGGGAGGAGGGTGTGTGACACAGAGGGCATTGGGGAGTCCACGGAATCTTAACCTGCAGGGTGATGTCTTAGAGTTGCTTCTTTATTTTGAACTTGGCTTGAGTGGGTGGGAGGGGATGCAAGACCGCAGACCCTGTGATTCCTTTCCAGTTTGTCAGTCATAGCAGGAAGGACCTATTGCTCCACCTTTTGCTACTGGCCCCTTGATTTCCAGAGAGTCTACTCTCTGGTTAAGAGAATGAGGTGGGACTTGGGGGCCAGGGAAAGAAAAAAGATCAGGCCTTCACAGACAAAGCAGAAAGGAGCTACTTCACAGCCAGAGTGGAATGCCACACCCCGCAGAGTGGGGGAGGGGGAGAAACTTGTTTTGCAGGATCCAGGGTAGAGTTCTTTGAACTGTGTCCTGGCAAAGGTTGCTTGAGAGTCACTTTGCTCATGTGTGACACAGACAGAATGATCATAAAAATGTAGACCTGACCATGTGATGTCCCTACATTGAATCCTTTAGTTTCTCTTTACTGAGTGTGCAAGAATCTCCTTGGCCTGGCCACTGCCAGCTGCGGCCCTTTTTCAGGACCCTGAGTACAAGGTTCTCTTCTACCCCAGGACATTTGCACATGCTGTTCACTGGGACTGAAAGCTCTTCTGTCCTCATCTTGAAATTATCTTCTAACTCTGACCATGGATCTCTGATTTCTTGCCTTTCATTTACTCCCCTAGCCAGCCTTCCCATTAGGAATCATCCAAACTCCTATATATTCTTCCAACCTCGTGCTTTTATCATGATTTCTAATTAAGTGTGATTATTTGATGTGTGTTTATAATCTCAGTAGATTCTAAGTGATGTGGTGGTTGACCGAATGAACTGGAGAAAATGATTTGCTGTTAGGTTAGCAGTGGTGTAATTTTAGCTTGCTCTTGTCTTGAAATTCAGTAGAGGAGATTTTTCATGAAGGGCGTTTCTAGGTATCCAGGGTGTTGATGGGATTGAGTTTTTAACAAGACAAAAGAAACCTCAAGTGAATAAGTAGCTCACATCCTTGGCAGTAAGGTGTAGCTTGTGTACTAACTTAAAAACAAAAACCCATTGTCTGACCATTCCTAAAGAAACAGGAGGGGAGGCAATGGGGTGTAGTGGCTAAGAACCCAGGCTTTGCAATGAAGAGTAATGAGTGAGAAATATAGGTAATCCAGTGGTGTGACCTTGGACAAGGACTTCCCTTCAACCTCCATTTCCTTGTCTGTGAAGTAGGAATAAAACTACCTCCTTATGGTACAGCAGTGAGGATTTAAAATGGGGTAGCTTAGGCATACTTCACAATGGCTGCCCCACGGTAAGCCCTCGCAGCGGTCAGGGTAGGAGAGACACTGCTTTTAAGGAAGTCAGGAAAGAATAAGGGACTTAGTCTTGAATCCCAGCTCTGCCACATCTGTGATCATGGGCACAAACCGCTTATTTTTCTGTTAGCCTCAATTATTGCATCTGTGAAATGGTGGCTGTAAATTCAACCTTGAGGTTGAAAGAGAAAAACTCCCCCAAAGTTCCTAGAACATGAAAAATAACTGGGCCAAGGCTGGTTGAACTGTCATCTGGTGTTTTACTCATTGTACGTCAGAGTCAGTGGCCAGAAAGCCTTTGAGGAGAATCCAGTTGCTTCCATTTGGGACCAGACTGAGGGAGCCGCTTGGGCACAAGACTATAAAATCAGTCTTCATTTAAAAAAAAATCACTTTATAATCTAGAAGTAACACTGCAGGATGTGCAGAGGAAAAACATCCCCTGTTGACCGAGGGCTAGTGGATGGGGCCCTAGAACACGCTGCCTAGCTGGAGAGAGAGCCCTGAAGGCAATTTGTATTTGTCCCTAGAGCAACTTTCTTTTTTCAGCTGCCAGTATCTGGGGCTCTCACCCAGGAGCTACTTAGCCCCCCAGGGGACATGTGACAATGGCTAGAGACATTTTCAGTCATTGCAGTCGAAGGGTGGTGTGCTACTGGCAACTAGTGGGTCTGGGTCCAGGTTGTTGCTAAACACGTCACAAGGCACAGGCCAGCGCCCAACAACAAAGAATTATCTGGCCCCAAATGTCAATAGTGTAGAAGTTGAGAAACTATGCTTTAGAAGAAAATTGCATTGTCCCATAATACCATAAAACTACCTTTCAGCAGAAGAAAAATCAATGCTTTTAATGTTAATTTAAGCAACTTTCAAAATCTGGAAAATCTTACTTTGTGAATCATGGAATATTTTAATAATGGCTTTATTGTGGTATGACTTAGAGAATTAAGTGTGCAGTCACATGCTTTTGAATACATTTGTATAATTTTGTATCCATCGCCATCATCCAGTTTTATCCTCCACTCCCCCCACCCCCAAGTTTCCTCTGGTTGTGACTACCTTTCTAATGTGATATTTTGTATCCATTGATTGCTGGTTTGCAAATAGAAACCAAATTAGAATTATCTTTTTGGACAATCTTCCCATAGGTAATGTTACAGCAACACACAAACCATGGAGGGAGATAGATCAAGTGTTTGAAAAAACCTCTCTTTAGCCACATAAATCTATAGCACACAATTATTTCATGTGTGGTGACTTCTCTAAAAGGTGGTAAGTATCACGGAGCCAAGCACACACAGGAAAAATATTTCCTTTGGCAGGCACAATACAGAAAGCCGGAGAGAAATTTAATTCTGTGCCCTCATAAATTTTCAGGGGGGATGGAAATTCAAGCCTGCT